TGGAGATTTACCGCTGATTACAGAACCGGCTTTCTGACAAGATGCGCGTTAAATATCGCATGCGATTAATCGTGCAGCCCTAATTATAATAAATATAATAAAAAATAAAATACCTTAATAATAATAAATAAAATACCACAATAATAATAACAATAACTAATAATAATAATAAATAAAATATCTTAATTAAACTTTAATACCTTAACAAAATCTCCAAATATCACTTAAGTGATTGTTTTATACAAACCATAAATGCCTAAAAATCCAACAGTTAATTTAGTGTAATAGCTACATCAATCATCTAAGTTCCCTATTGATACTTCACTCGTACTGCATCTGCTTACGACGCTTTGGGAAAACTAATTTTCTCCGATGACTGAAGCCTTTCAATAACGCAGTGCAACTGCACGGCCATTGGTTCGTGCAGTAACAAAAAAACGAACCAATGGCTCGGCAGCGGTGATGCACGAGCCTATGGCGACGAAGCCCGCCAGAATGGGTGGGGCCATCTGGCTATATAAGCGGGCATTTTGCCATAGGATCCTCAGATTCTTCTCCTTCAGTGATGACTGCAAGATCTTCGCTCTACGAGACTCGAAGCCTGCATGCCGCTGACGGTCACAGCGAGTGCGTTTCATGCTTGGGCGCCGCCCACTCACCGAGACGGAATGTCCTCATTGCGAGGATATGAGTCTCGCCTCTCTGCGCTCACGGGTAGCTTTTCTTTTCAGAGAGAAGAGTGGACGCTCCACTCTCAAACGGTTCAAAAAATCTGGGAGATCTCCGGCAAGGCAGAGGTCGACCTCTTCGCCTCAGAAGACAACTCTCATTGCCCAACTTACTTTTCGAAGGACAGGGATGCGTTGGCCCACGACTGGCCCAGCCTCCTCCTTTACACTTTTCCCCCCCATCGCTCTCATCCCACAGGTAATCAGGCGAATCAGGGAACAGAGACACAAGGTTCTGTTCGTGGCCCTGCTCTGGAGGAACACTGGTTCGCAGAGCTGTATCGGCAGCTCTCGGCAGCCCCGTGGCCCATTCCCCTGAGACGGGACTTCCTTTGGCCTCTCGATGGGAGCCTGTGGACCTCCCCGAGAACGTGCTAAACACAATCTCTCAGGCTAGAGCACCGTCTACAAGACATCTCTATGCCCTTAAATGGTCTGTCTTCTCCTCCTGGTGTGCAGCCCGTGGCACAGACCAAATTTCCTGTGACATATCTCTGATATTGTTCTTCCCACAAGAGCTGTTGGACACGCTCAAGGTCTATGTAGCAGCCATAGCAGCCTCTCACGCTCCTATAGCTGGCTAATCGGTGGGCAGGAACAACTTAGTTGTTCGTTTTCTGAAGGGGTCTAGGAGACTCAACCTGCCTCGCCCCATCACCGTCCCTACATGGGATCTGCCCATGGTGTTGAGGGCTCTGAAGAGCCCTCCCTTTGAGCTGCTACAGTCCATTGACCTTCGTCCCCTGACAATTAAGACCGCTCTGCTACTAGCGTTAGCATCGGAAAAGCGTATGGGAGATCTGCAGGCACTCTCTGTGAGTCCCACCTGCCTCGAATTTGGGCCCAGCGACTCTAAAGTCGTCCTGAAGCCTAGGCATGGTTACATACCTAAAATGCGCTCTACTCCATTCAGAGCACAGGTAATAGAGTTGAGAGTTTATGTTGAGTGTTCTGCCCCATTCAGGCAGTCAGAACAGCTATTTGTATGCTTCGGAGTCCACACCGAGTGTTCTCCGGTCACAAAGTAGAGACTTTCCAAATGGATAATTGATGCTATTACGCTAGCGTACACTTCTTTGGGCCTTCAATGCCCCATGGGAGTAAGAGCCCATTCAACTAGAGGCATCGCCTCTTCCTGGGCTTGGTCTAGCGGTGTGTCCATTGCAGAGATTTGTGCGGCGGCCGTCTGGGCCTCGTCGTCCACATTTGCCAGGTTTTCTAATCTGGACGTCCCGGCCTTACAGGCACGGGTCCTTTCTGACTCAAATTTGCGTTCGCTGCCACTGACACAGAGAGCAAACATGTTTGGGTAAAAAACAGCTTCACAAACAGTCTTTTCAACTACATAGTGTTATTTCTGTCTTACAGTCATTCATATTATCATAGAAATACTGGGATGAAAGTTTATAGTTATTTATAATTTATACAGATATAAACATTGATGTCTATGGTAGCGATCAAAATAAATCAAATCCCCTTATGAAAGTAATTGGCACGTCAAATAACGTTTGTGTCGATTGCATTGTTTCAACACTAGGTAGTGAAAAGTGACTTTTAAAAAATGTGTTTGTCATCAAGAGATTTGTTCAAAACCTTGAATCATCCAGTAATGAAACAAGTGAAGTATTTATGAGCGAGTCATTGAATCATTCATTCAAACTACTTTTTCATAATTTTAATATAAAAAATTGGTGCATTAAATATATTTTAAATACATATATATTACAATTTTTAATAATTCATTCAAATTAATTAAACACTTTTAAATAGACTGCAGCAATTAATATTTTGTCACGCATTATTTTGTTTAATTCAGAATCGTGGGAGAATCGTGATCTCAATTCGAGACAAAAAAAATCGTGATTGTCAATTTATCGTGCAGCTCTATCCTGTTTCTGGATATCCTGTTTCTGTTTTTTTTAATCCTGTTTGAAACAATCATTATTGAGAGCTTGACAGATGAGAACATGTGAGAAAAGGGCAGCTATACTCACCCTCTCGAGATCCTGACGCAAGTGAGTGAAGAGCTTCAGACGGCGATACAAAACGTCCTGCTCCTGCTGGGCGAGATTGTCCACCTCGTCCCTCTTGAGGGCCACCAGCGGCTGGTTAAAGTTGGCCTTTCGTCGCAGCTTCCAGTACTGGAAGAGGAAGTCCACGTGAACGTCTGGCAGAGAAAGGCTTTCTGCGACATCCTTGGGGTCCACGAATCTGTAAAACTCATTTTCAAGCTCTTGCAGCTTCTGCTTGCGTTGGCTGGCTTTCTCCTGTTCTGCTTGGCCCTGCTTCGAACGATCCAAATGCGTCCCCGACAGATCGGAACCAGCATGTCGCGTTTCGGGTCTGTCCACATTCCCGCTGTTGTTTGAGCGCGAGACGCTGCTGTGCTCTAGACAGTAGGATTTGAAGCGCACCTCGTCGTTCTCTGCCAGAGTGGTGCACATCTCTAGTCCGTGGTCAAACGCACAGGTCACGTGGAAGGCCACGATGCAGGATGGCATGGAGCACTGTGTAAGCAAAACGGCATGTTTAGAGTGCTGGTTCACATTGTCATCAGCAGGGACCAGTTGTTCAAAAGGTTTAATCTGGATCAGAATGATCTGGATTTGGAAATCCCATATTTTGCTATCCAGGATCAGGTAACCCATCTTACTTTTGTGCCGGTTTTTCAAAGCAAAATTGTGACCCTGGAGCACAAAACCAGTCTTAAGTCGCTGGGGTATATTTGTAACAATAGCCAAAAATACATTGTATGGGTCAAAATTATTGATTTTTCTTTTATGCCAAAAATAATTAGTATATTAACTAAAATGCATTTTGCCATGAAGATATTTTGTAAATTTCCCACCGTAAATATATGAAAACGTCATTTTTGATTAGTAATATGCATTGCTAAGAACTTCATTTGGACAACTTTAAAGGCGATTTTCTCAATATTTTGATGTTTTTGCACCCTCAGATTCCAGATTTTCAAATAGTTGTATCTCAGCCAAATATTTACCCTTATGACTGTTTTTGTGGTCAAGGGTCACAATTGGATTGGATCACCCTAATCCAGATACACACTTTTTCAGATTTTTCAAGAAACGTTTCAAGAAACGTCGAATTAAATATGATATTTTTGTTTGATATTGACAGCTGTTTGGGGATTCGGGGATATATTACATGTTACAAATGTTGTATTTTTTTAGACCAGTTTTAAAGTTTCATTACATTTTTGTTCCTGAAATCCACCGTTCTGCTGGGATAAGAATAATCCAGTTTATTTGGAACAAAAGTATCTTACTAAAACATTTTGAACCACACAAACTGAGGATTTAATCCAGTTCAAAACCAAGATTTGATTTTGTGATCTTATCCGAATTCAGAATCCTTTTTTTATTTTGAACAACCCGTTTTCAAGATCTGATCCAATCCGATGGCTAAAATCCGATCAGATTACTTTTGAACAACTGGCCCCAGAGCTGGGTAGTAACTGATTACATGTAATCTGGATTACGTAATCAGACTCCAAAAATTAAGTACTCGTAGTTAGATTACATTACATTTTAAAATAACTGTAATCAGACTAGTCTCTTTTTATTGATTACATGATTACATATTATTCACACAACAGCAATAAATTATTCATTATTTATTGATTCTCCCTAATTCTTCTTTTCATCTGTTAAATTGTCCTTTTTAGATAGCCTACGAGTTTTCCAGTCTTCCAGTTTTGTGGACATTTCACACAAAGACCAGAGAGGCCACACAGCATTTGACCACTGGTTTTACAAAAATCTTTTCAATTTCAAGAAGTGTTTTCTCAACACTTCAACAATGATTCTACTGATGAACACATTCATTATATTTGAATCATCACTCAATTTAACCATGTATTACAATGTCTTTGGAAGGTTTTTGTCTTTCAAACGGTTTTAAAATGATTATTTCTATGATGTTATTAAATATTAGCATTTCATTAAATTCACAAACCCCCTGCAGTTCCTTCACAAACTCCAGTTTGGGAAACCCTGACATAATGTAATGTTTAATGCACTTCATGTTGTTAATAACAACAAATGGAATATATTTTCATTGCATTGTTGGCTGTTTTCCATGCAGTAACAACGAACAGGGATAGAAGCTTTTGAGCTTCAAAAAGGATGCAAAAGCTCCATACAAATATCATAATAGTACAACTTGCAATACTCTTCCATAAGACTCGAGTCAAATGACCATTTTCTCGTTATTCACAAAAAAAATTGTGACATCCACCCTAGCTGTCAAAGTAACATCATCCATGAATTCATGATCGAATGAAAGTAGTTCCTGTTCATAAATCTAGTCTGAATGATATGTTCATGAATCTCTAGTTCAGCTCACCAACTCAATATTTTGCTGATTTTCAGTCAGTAATGAAATCTATTACGTAACTTTGTATAGACCGCTTCTATGATACTTTTATGGTGCTCTTGTGTCCTTTTTGAAGCTGGAAAGCATCAGTTGCCATTCATTGTAACTGCATGGAAAGGAGCGTCCAACACAGTCTTCACAATTTCTTCTTTTGTGCTCCACTAAAAAATATACTTGTCTGAAACAACATGTGGATGAATTAGATTTGCATTGTTGCATTCATTATTCCTTTGCTAGCTCTTTATATAATCCTGGATATACAAGTACGTGTAACTATACCAACCTACATACAGTATACTCATATGTACCATACAGCAAATCCCAACTACTTGATTTCTTGCAATATAATCTGCTATATGCAACTAAAAAGCATGCAGATATTATAAACATGAACATCAAGATGTTCTGTAAAGCTGCTTTGAAATAATGCGTATTGTAAATAATAGATTTTGACTAGACTTCATAAAGCATCCCATCCTTTCTTACTTTGAAAGGAAACTACATGAAAGCTTACTCTGCTCTTTAAATGTGTCAAGTGTTCAAAAGCAGCATGTCTCTCACCTGTATACATGTGCCTGTGTGTTCACGGCACAGGCCACAGGACAAGGCCCAGCGACTGGCTGGGATGCGAACAAGTTCAAATTTCCGGCTGAAAAGCTTTCCTTTCAATCACACGACGAGACAAAGAGAGCCGAGGAAATATTTCAACTAGAATTCATCCATTATTGCACGCTAATTACAAGTTTCCTCCGTCAAAGGCAAAGCACCTTGCAGATGAATAAGTGTGAATGAGTTCTGTAGCGTTTAGGGCATGATTTCCTTTGCGCTTTTACTGCTTTATTGCATCTTTTATCAAGCTAAATTAACTCCAAAGTTCATTTCAACTCAACTATGTCTGAACAAATCATCAAAATCAATACTGGAAATAATAACCAATGAATTTCATGAATGCACTGCGGCACGGAGAGCGTACATCAGCTTACAATAGAGAATAATGCATTTCTACTGGAAAAGTATGCTGGAGTGTATTATATCTACAGCAAAAAAATTGTGTTACTGCAGAACATTCTGTTTTTCCTTATTATAATTCAGAGATTTATAATGCCCTGATGCTTCCAAATGTTGTGTTCCTTTTAAAGCTGCAATGAATTACAATAATGCAATATTTTATTCGCCCCGAAAGTTTCAAACATTTGATTTCCATTGGTCGTACAAACCAAAAACAATGCTGTTACAGTCTCAAACAAAACGTCAGTGTCACTACTGATGCAGAAATGACACGCCGCACCTTTAAGACTTCAAAAACAAAATCTAATCTTGTTTAAAACAAGCTGGATAACTGCAGAAGAAACCATCAAAACAACCACAGCCAGAAACTGTATGCAAAACCTGAAGATTGTAGGTTTCTACAAAAACGGGAACTCTTTACATCCAAACACAACTTCGATCTACTTAGAGGGATTTAGATGATACTGTATGTGGGAGTGAGAGGAGTTACGTAAAACATGACCAGCTCCATCATTTCAGACGTTTTGAGTTTTTGCACTGAATGAAAAAAACGAGTTCATACCATATGATGTAAATTAGGGATGTAATGATTCACTCAACTCACGATGCGATGAGTTTTCCTCACGATTTTTTAAAAATAATTTGATTTAGGACAAATTATAAATGGTGTCCTTTTATTATTCCTCATAAAAAAAATACTGCACTTTTCTTTGTGAAATTGAAATATGTGAAATAACAAAACTAAATTGAAATTTTAAAACAAATCCCAAATCAAATAATACAAACGAAAGTGTCACGAATCCTGTCCATGGACTTCCGTTCAATCACCACCAGAGGTCACCCTTTCATTACATTGACTCTCGCACAACACAAACTGTTGCATGTCATCCCGGACTACATATCCCATCAGCCATTGCACTGATTGCACACAGCACTGATTGCACACTGTTTTCTCGGTTTCTGATCTTTGCCTGTTTTCCTGGATCTATCCCTCTCGTCTCGCCCCTGTTATTCTGTCTGCCGATCGTTGACCTACGCTAGCCCTAGGACTATTCTTGTGTTTTGCCCACCATATACCTGTTTGCCATTGTTTGACCCTGCCTGTTTACCACGTCTCTTTAATAAAGCCTGCAGATGGATCCA